TGTGACCTCTGCGGGCTCATAAGATACCCAGTCATAATGAAAATGTATATATTTTACGGGTTTGCGTTTTATTACACGACAACGGTATTCCTTCATCGTGAAAGACTTTCGTGAATACGTGTTAAGCACAAATTTCATTTTAGAAATTATGGAAATTGGCTTTTTTTGCTTGGCTTAGGCTAAATTTTACGAAAACTTCAGAATTTTACGATGGACCAAAAGGTTTTTTTTCTTATGAATGATGTACTACTGGTGGCCCGGAGGCCTCTTCAGTTTCACCAGGACAGGTGAGCGAACAAAGGCTCAGCCAAGAGGGGTGGGATTTGTTAATAGCTGCCCGAGCGCCTCCAAAGGAGACCTAACAACTCTAGGGAAGCTGCTTCGCTAATGAATCTACTACCAGATCGGAATCGCAACCCGCTGAGAATATCCGGCGAGAAATTCAGGGGGCTGACGTTTAGATTAGGTAAGGTTGCTTTTTGCAGAATTCGACGAGTAGGTACGGTCACCGGGGTACCTAAGTCTGCTCCTAGTGTTAGAACTGAACGCGTCTAATGCAATGGTAATTGGATCTGATGGTTCCATAGGCACGTGTCTAGGGCGTCGATGGTGACTGGTTCCTGCGTAATCTGGATTCGGAGAGTAGTCAGCGGCGGCAACGATAGGACCAAAAGGTACTCATTGGATTGGAGATTTCCGCCTTCAACAGTTCTTAGTGCACACTAAACATTCCCCCGTGGTGCAAAGAGTATTTTGCAAACATAAGAGTCGAAATTCATAAGTACAACAAAAAGTATGTACAAATAGTACGGCTAATTGCTCTTTTGTTTTGAAATCTATAAGCATTTACGAATAATAACTCTTATTTGTAGGTCGTAGATTAGATTAAGTACTTTTTGGCTTGACACAGATGATAACTGTAGCAAATTGCAAATGTTTGTGTGTACCAACGTAACTCTAATGACAAGGTGAAATGTTCCGTATTATTTAAAGAAAGACGATAGCGTTCTGTAAGAACTCTCATTTCATCTTCATATTTGGTTGGTTTTATATTATTTAACATAGCTGGGCGATAGACAGATGGGATAAACGCAGCTAAGTACAATGCAATTTGAAGTCGTCGCGGCCTAATAGAGCAAGAGCCCGCGACAGCCAGACCTTCGTTCTGAAAGTTTCTCTGTGTATGTCTCCAGCACAGGTAAGAACGACCCCCGACTATAGAGTTCGGATTGTGGTTACTTGGGCAGGTAACAGGCAGTAAAGGTATATAAAATAGTACCTTAAATTCGTTAAAGTATAAAGTTCTTTTTTTTATTAATTACTCCAGAATATCTTTAGAAATCACGATATCTATTGCCGGACACTTTTTACAGTTGCTACCGGACACCCCTAAACTTTAATAAATTTTAATTATACTTTCGTTATACTATAAAAGCTGAATTTTATATATGTTACTTAGGGACTTATAAAAATATGTTACCCCAATAGCCAGACAGTTTTAATGGTTCTTACATCTTGCCGGACACATTGAGAGCCCGCTGTGCGAGCGCGAGGTAGCAACTGTTCATGCGGGTGTGAGTGAGATAGAGTGCTTAGTCTATTGTGATCTTTTAAGATATCCAATAAAAAATAATTTTATTACGTTCATAGCAATGTTATAGAAAGTAAAAAATGTTATTTTAATATTATAAAGTACAAACAAAATATTATTACATGTCAAAGAAAAATATTTAATCGTTCTTATAATTTTCCTCATTGTCGTCGATATTTTCGTTATCTTCATCGTCGCTACTACAGTTACTCTAGTCTATTGTCACCAATATCCAATACCTTATCCATCAGTTTCTGAAAAAAATTAAGAAAAAGTATACAATTTGAATAATTAAAAAATTATGTGCAATAATTTGTCATAATAATTACATACCTGATTGAGTTTTGAGCGAATCTCCAACATAACTTGGTATTTGTCATCTTTCAATACCCTGCCATTATTATCCGGGTTGATATGAGGTTGGATTTTTTAGATGAGCACTATTCCAAATTTTATATATATAATTTGATCGCAAAAATTGCTGCAATAGCTCGCTTTTACAAGTTGGTAGATTGCTAACGTAAAAAATTCGCAATTTCTTTCGGTCAAAAGCTTCGTTTACATCAGAGACTGTATACGAGTCGATGAATATTTGAAGTCGAGCAGCATCAACATCAATTACATTACGGACATTGTAAACATTGCATATAAATCTGAATGATATTATAGATGTTTTGTTGTTGATCTAAATTTTCAATTGATTCGCTGTTACGGAAATTCTTGAAAGCTTCCTGGTACTTTGGATATTTTTTTAATGTTTTATATGGTTTTAATTTTCCTTTCCTGAAGAATGCACGATAAATCCCAGAAATGACAGCTGATGTGCAGTAAAAGATCACAATAGACTAAGCACTCTATCTCACTCACACCCGCATGAACAGTTGCTACCTCGCGCTCGCACAGCGGGCTCTCAATGTGTCCGGCAAGATGTAAGAACCATTAAAACTGTCTGGCTATTGGGGTAACATATTTTTATAAGTCCCTAAGTAACATATATAAAATTCAGCTTTTATAGTATAACGAATATAATTAATTAAAATTTATTAAAGTTTAGGGGTGTCCGGTAGCAACTGTAAAAAGTGTCCGGCAATAGATATCGTGATTTCTAAAGATATTCTGGAGTAATTAATAAAAAAAAGAACTTTATACTTTAACGAATTTAAGGTACTATTTTATATACCTTTACTGCCTGTTACCTGCCCAAGTAACCACAATCCGAACTCTATAGTCGGGGGTCGTTCTTACCTGTGCTGGAGACATACACAGAGAAACTTTCAGCTTTTATAAAATAACGAAGGTCTGGCTGTCGCGGGCTCTTGGGCTATAACGGATAAGACGTCCGGTGCATTCGTGTTGAGCGATGCACCGGTGTTCGAATCTCAGGCGGGTACCAATTTTTCTAATGAAATACGTACTCAACAAATGTTCACGATTGATTTCCACGGTGAAGGAATAACGTCGTGTAATAAAAATGAAACCCGCAAAATTATGATTTGCGTAATTACTGGTGGTAGGACCTCTTGTGAGTCCGCGCGGGTCGGTACCACCACCCTGCGTATTTCTGCCGTGAAGCAGTAATGCATTTCGGTTTGAAGGGTGGGGCAGCCGTTGTAACTATACGTGAGACCTTAGAACTTATATCTCAAGGTGAGTGGCGCATTTACGTTGTGGATTCCATGGGCTCCAGTAACCACTTAACACCAGGTGGGCTGTGAGCTCGTCCACCCATCTAAGCAATTAAAAAAATAATAAAAAATAATAATTTAAAAACATATTGAGTATCAAACGCACTATCGAAACGGCTTGTGACAAGCGCTAATGAAATAAACGATTTTGAACACGATTTTTAACATTAAATCATTTTTATACCGGGGCGGGGCCTCCTTTCTTGCAAGTGCACTGAAATGGGACTCCTATCTGCTGGTTGGTGTATTGCTGTTTCTGAGTTTCTCTGCAGCCGGTGAAGAACATCTTATATATCAATGTTAGCAGTCCAGCTCCCAGGACAACGCCTGCTGCGATAGGCACCCAGTTATTTCCATCCCTGTCACTCATTATAACATCAGAAGTTATTTTACTTAATAATTTATTCGCATCGTGTGCTTTTTTTGACGTTTTTGTGAAAGAATGATGTTGATATTCTGAAGTGTATTATGTTTTGTCAATTATGTCCAGTTTTTATGTGCTACTACGTTGTTTATGGTTAGAATGTTTCTTATACAAAGGCTTTTATGTATATTGTTTAAAAACTGTTACTACCCAGGAAATTAGATCGAAGCTACCAAAATTATTATACTGTCATCGGGTCTTAGTGCGTGTGAACATTTTCAAGTTAATCAGACTTCTTGAAGTCGTTCAAAATTACATCCAAAGATTTAATAAGGGTGGACGATCTCAGGTTCCACCTGGTCGGGAAATAGTAGTTTCTGGATGAAAAGTACGCTGAAGTCCAAAAATTCATTAAGATTTGTAGATTCTCTTACAAAAATTATGACTGAGAAAAATTTTGACTCGACAAGTTCAAGCAGGCGAATTTAAGTAGGTACTAAGTTTGAGCAATTGTGCTTCATTTTTTCCCGATTTTTTTTTACTATTCAGCGTAATCTCAATTACACTAGACTAGACTAGACAATTCAACTGACCTAAGTCACAGTGGACTAATTGTTCTGGTACATAGGACGGTGGGGCGCCTTCTTAGCTCGCGCGGGTGTACCACCACTGCCTATTTATACCACGAAGCACAAAAACTTTACGGTTGAAAGAAAGAGGGACTTAAACCTCACGTCTCAAAGTTGGTGGCGGCATCACGTTATCATTGTCAATGGGATTCAATGACCGCTTAGCATCAAGTGAGCAGTCTGCTCAATTACAAACTTAAATAATATTTATTTAAACATTTAAATTAACAAAATGGTTTTAAATAATACTGTAAATGTTATTTAGAAGTTATCCCTTTTAAAATAATAAGAACTAAATTCTTCCTAATTTTGTTTTATATCCGAATGATATTTTGTGTTATTTCGGGAAATATCTGTAGGACGCAAAAATTATACACAAATAAACGATTACACTATGTATATAAAGTTTATTAAAATAAATGCATCAGATAACAGATAAATTCACTGTATCAATAAGAAATAACATTTTCATAACAAACGAGAAAAATAAAACATTATGAAAATCAAAATAGTCACGCAGCAAACAATATATTGTGACAATTTTTACTGGTGGCAGGACCTCTTGCGAGTCCGCGCGGGTAGGTAACCCCGCCTATTTCTGCCGTGAAGCAGTAACGCGTTTCGGCTTGAAGGGCAGGGCAGCCCTTGTAACTATACGTGAGACCTTAGAACTTATATCTCAAGGTGAGTGGCGCATTTACGTTGTAGATGTCTATGGGCTCCATTAACCACTTAACGCCAGGTGGGCTGTGAGCTTGTCCACCCATCTACGCAATAAAAAATAAAAAAAACATAAGTCTCATAGTCTCTCGTCTCCTCCTAAAGCACGATCACTCTCAAAGTCGTGAGAGAATCTTCTCCTTATATTCCTTTAGCTCCGAATTCGTTAAGAGATAGCCCGCTACCAGAAGATAGTCATCCGGCTGCTGCAGGATCGCGATTAAGGGCTTCAACTTCGCCGCGTAACTGTTGAGTACATTGCGTCTGACGTTCCAAAGGAGATTGTGCTCTCGGTTCCAGAAATAAGGGAGTTTCCCGCTAACGAGGACCTCGTGCAGGCGAGACACCATCAACTTGAACAGTTTCGAAGGACTGTTCTTGCTCCAAAACGTGATGTCGTCAACTTTGACTATTTCAAACAGAAACAATGTTTTGATGAAGTAACTGGCGATCGCGTTCATGCCTTGCGCGTCTCTCAACTTCTTCATCTGTTAATAAAACCGATCAATCAATCAATCATTACAATAAAGCTGCATAATAATTAGAAATCTGATAGAATTTAATTTTATTTTGCGTAATTACTGGTAGTAGGAACTCTTGTGAGTCCGCGCGGGTAGGTACCACCGCCCTGCCTATTTCTGCCGTGAAGCAGTAATGCGTTTCGGTCTGAAGGGTGGGCAGCCGTTGTAACTATACTGAGACCTTATAACTTATATCTCAAGGTGAGTGGCGCATTTACGTTGTAGACGTCTATGGGCTCCAGTGACCACTTAATTCCAAGTGGGCCGTGAGGTCGTCCACCCATCTAAGCAATAAAAAAAACTATTAAATACAAAAGTGACTAAGTCTGTAGAAGTGTATATAATTAAATTGCGAGTAAAACTGTATACCAAGGACGAGCAACACGCGGCCCGCCAAGCATTTTTAAAATTAAATTGATTTTATTGACTTTCTCCCATCAATTCGTTATTCTGTTCTCTTCTTGTTTGTTTTTAATAAATAAATAAAGTATAATAAATTATTAATAAAAGTTATATATATGCCGCCCGCCAAAAAAATATATATTTAAATTGGCCCGTTGATTAAAAAGGTTGCTCGCCCTGTACACAGTTGTGGTTTTGTGATTACGTGCAATTTTGAAGTTTCAGATTATATTTTATCTAAACCATATCCTGAGTAGTTGTAGAACTCATGTCTCAAGCTACTGACATCTTCGGAAACCACTTAACACCAGGTTGGCCGTGAGCTCAACTACCCACACAAGCAATAAAACAAAATGGTTAAATAAATCATGATATAAAAAAGGTGGCAATTCACTGCGCGGTTTCCTTAGATCCCGTCAATGCTCTTTCCTGTTAGCTTAAGATAAGATTAATATTTAAACAAACCCAGTATTTGTTTACATTCATTGAATGAATGAACCTCATTTATCAGTTATGTAATCATACACCAATGTAGTAGTAAGCCTAAACAAAAAAGATTGTTTAGGCTTACTAAACTGTGCTTGTGGTTTTATGAAACCACGGTAAAAGTGAAACTTTTTTCACATTATAGACATTTAACTCTGACAAAAACAAACAAAATAGCGTGGAGCACTGGCACAAATGAGTAATAATCTATACACTAAACGTTCAGCTGCTGCGAACTATAGGCGCCGCCATATGGGCCTTGGCTGCTCTGACGAGTGCCTTTCACTTTATCCCTACTCCGCGGCCGACCGTCACGCGACATGCAATACACAGACGAAAAAGTTTGAGACGATGTAATATAGTTTCAGACGCCTTCAGCACTAACACTAGGAGCAGGCTTAGGGACCTCGGTAACCGTACTCGTCGAACTCGACAAAGAGTTCGCCGTGCAACCTAACCCATGAATCAGCTCGCTGAGTTTCTCGCCGGATCTTCTCAGCGGGTCGCGATTCCGATCCGGTAGCAGATTCATTCGCGAAGCAGCTACTCTTGAGCTGTTAGGTCTCCTTCGGAGGCGCTCGGATAGCTGTTAGCAAATCCCACCCCTCCTGGATGAGCCTTTGCTCGCCCACCTGTCCTGGTGAAACTGGAAAGGCCTCCGGGCCACCAGTAACTCTTCAATCATAAAAAATAAATAAAAAAAAAACTTTAAAAAAAGAACATAAAAAAATCCTCACCAGTCGCAAGGCTGGTCGCAGATTATTGGTCTTGTGCATCAAGAGCCTCTCCTGGTTCTGCATGGATATACGCCACGACCGGACTTCGTCGGTTTTGTTGGCGGCCTCCTTATTCGGTTTGCCGACAAGCTGCCAGGTACCTTTGCGGCAATTCGGGGGTATTTGTCGGTACTGCTTCGTGATCGGCCATCGATTTTCCGGAAACTTCAGCGCCGGCACCAAGTCCACGCTTAAGCTAAATCCTTTCGATTTATTCGTAATGATTAGCGTCTCCGCAGGACCGGACTGAGAATGGGCTATGACGTACTTAACGCCTCCCACGTTGTATACAGACTGGCCGTTTTCATTATCGAACTTGTTGAGGGCCCTTTTAACTACGCTTTTAAACCAATCCAAAAATTTGGTGGATAACAAAAAATTGGATTCGTCTTTCCACAGATAAGCGGTTTTGTTGATCTGCCAATCGACTCCGTCCCTCATCGGTAGGTTTTGGAACTGAGGGCCCATTTTCAGTTGAACATAGCCGGCATGTCTGGGTTCAAATTTTATATCGCTCTCGTTTGGATTATTTGTTTTCTCGTGGAAGCAAAGAGGCACACCTATTTCGATAACCATGTCGAATTCATCAGGTTTGTTTATACGCACATTGTCGTAGTGACTCCCGGCATGATGTACCTGAAATGCGATATTTACCTTCAACATTACTCTTTAACAGTGGCGGATTTACCGACAGGCCGCGTAGGCCCGGGTCGAGGGCTGCCACTGTGCTTAGTGCGAGTTTTTTAACGTTCTCGATAGCGTAAAAGTTAGCTCATATTTGTATGGAATAGGATCGTTTGCCTACGTTTGCCGCTAGGGGCGCTGTTCCAACTGCATACAAAATTGGGTTAGCTTTTACGCTAAGCACACAGATTTAGGGGCAGCCCCAATCGTGTCAAGAAACTTATTATAACGTATGGCGGGCGGGCTGCACTGCATAGTGCAATCTATACCGCATCCTTAAATACTCTTCTGTTTTTTAACACGCTTTTATTAGTTTCGCCTGTTTGCTTGCTTGCTTGCTTGTTTGTTTGTTTATTGAGAAAGGGGCGGCCGATGGCTTGGGGCCTAGGGCGACTGCAAATCCGCCACTGCTCTTTAATATTTAAAATGATGATGCATATACTAAGCATAACAAATATGTTGATGATTCGCGGCACTAAAAATATCATATTCGTATTATAATTATATGTTTTGCTAGATTTTATTATATAGTATGCAAAACGCGACCGAATATCAACTGACGCACGGGGTTAACGACCTCGTGAGAACGCGTTTCGAGTTACATTGCCGGTCAACGAAATGAGTGAACTTATNAAAATGATGATGCATATACTAAGCATAACAAATATGTTGATGATTCGCGGCACTAAAAATATCATATTCGTATTATAATTATATGTTTTGCTAGATTTTATTATATAGTATGCAAAACGCGACCGAATATCAACTGACGCACGGGGTTAACGACCTCGTGAGAACGCGTTTCGAGTTACATTGCCGGTCAACGAAATGAGTGAACTTATGAAAACTACAAGTATTTGTTTGATTTTGTGAATAGCAGTAGTAGAGATCCGCAATTCGCCACTCAAGATTTGGAACATAAAAAAAATTATTCTACATCTAACAGCCACAATAATACAATAAATAACAAAATATTGAAGTACAAGACATTATCTTACAATTGTTTTCCTGGAAAAAGTGATGACACTAGGCAATATGGAGTTTGTGATGATGTCTATGGGCCTCTACTAAGTCGTTATTTCAAGTGGACAGCCTTAAATATCTGCACAAAAATTTAACTGTTTTACATATAGAAATATAATAGTTAGGTTTTTAGAAATATCAAAATCAGGCCTTGATTATAAAAGCTGTCCCTAATGGACATCATCAACGCCAGAAGCACAATCAAGCCACTGCCTGCTGCAAACATTTCAGTTTCATCAATGGAACAACCATTCTTTCACACAATAAAATTTTTGGCCCCATATTTAGTAGCCAGAGGCAGTATATTTACCATGATGTGAAAGACAGTAAAATGGGTTTCCCAGACACTAGAATGTGAAATTATAGCAATGTTTTTGAAATTAAAGTAAGCATTCTTGGTAGTTAAGGTGCATGAAAATTTTATTATTAATTCCATTACACAACAAGCATACAGTCCGCCTGGTACTGTTGTACATAGACATTAATAGTGTCAGGGACACATCCAAGCTGTTAGCTACTGTAAAGTACTTTAAAAACCTTGTTTGAGGTGTCATAGCACTAAAGAAACAAAATTTTAAGCTATTACGACTAGCAAGGATGATATCCCGCATTCATTAGAGGTAAAACTACAGTTGTGAATGTTATTTCTTCTTATTTTGCTTGTGAAATAATCTTTAGATTCCAAGAAGCACTTGACAACAATTGAGTTGTGAGATAATCTGCCCATTAATGCTATTAAAAAAAAATACACACCGTGCTCGAATATCTGTTGTAGTATGGATCAATTTCTTTCATTTTCTTGTGAAGATTTTGGAATATTGTATCTAGCACTTTGTAATGTAGTTCAAAATCACTTTCCTTGAGTTGTATATATCTCACTGATATGTCTGCTAGCAGAGACTCTAAATTAGTAATTTTTGGATTGTAAGGTACTTTGTCGCTAATCCCTTCTTTGCATTTCGACTCTGGAGCCCTATTGAAAAAAAAGGCAATTTAAATATTCTTATACAATTATAATATGTTAACGTTAACAATACTTTTTTTTTATTAAAATTTGATTGACTTAAACATTCTATTGTAAAAAAAAATGTGTTTTCTGCTTTTACTAAATTATATCCTTAATTTGTAGAGTCAATAGAGTAATAAAAATGGAAATTATGAACTAAAATTCATAAATAAAACCTAGTTGCATGTGAAACGAAAGTATTTGAAATGTTGAAATATTTGCAATGAAATGTGTGAAGAATGCAGTACCTATTTGAAATGTTGGAAATAATGGCAATTAAAAAAGTGACAAGAAACCATGAAAATAGTTTTAATTTAATTAAAATAGTTTAAGTCACTAAATATGTTTGACACAAAAACAAAAATTTCTTAAAATGACTTTTTTTTTCAAAATATATCATGGTTTAGTATGGAAACTGTTACTGAATGTATGAAAACATAGTTACAAATTAGAGATCTCGGCTGTAAAATAGGGGAAAATCAAATAGATTAGCAGCCAAGACCAGACACGAACAATCTTTCAATCAATTTTTTTTGTGAATCCTCTGTAGTTTCTCTCAAAGCTCTTATGTTATGAGTCGAAAGTCGAATTAGCTTGTATTTACCTGCTGTTACTATTGAAGCCCGTTTTCTCTTCTCGCGTTGGTTGTTCTTGCGGACGCTGCGGTTGTGATGAGGTTGATAATATTGCTCCCAAAATGTTAATGATAGATCGGAGCAACGATTCAGTATTATTCGTATTTTGATTTGGGCTATTCATTTCGCATTAAAAATCTTTCAAATAATTAATAATTATTCAATAACGGATAACGTTATCATCTATCACTATTCACTTAATCACTTGAATTTTTGGAGTAAATGACGTAGGTAAAGGATTGTACGCTCCGTATTTATAGTACATCAGCGAAATTAGCCACGGAAGCTGAGGCAGTGCAATTCCTAAGTTTGAAACTTATCAACATAATTGAGTATTTGATACGGTAAAGTCCCTAAAATTTGCCTGGCCCTAAGCGCAGGTTGTTCATAAATATGGATAATACACTACTTAATTGAGAATATTATCTATGGTTGTACTGTACAAGACCAAAATTCGATTCCAATTGCCAGATAAAATTGGAGCGTGTGGTAATGCTGTAAGGATTGTTATTTGTTGCACTTCAAAATATTGTTTTCGGTTCCGTCCCGTACCATAGATATCATTAGTGCATTCAATTCAACTAGTAAGGCAAAGAAAACATAGCCCAGAAAGACAACTATTTTGCGTAACGTTACTGTTGGCTAGGGATAGCTTGGCTTAAAGGCTTATTACATTTGGCTGAATTTAGTCGTCTGAATTCAGAATCAAATTTAGAAGCTTCTGATTGCACTGTTCTAAATTCAGTTACTGAATCAATTGTCAGTTTAAACGCGACGAAGTCAGACGTGTCGTGTGCGTAAGAGGATGGCCCCAGTATTGTTAAACAAAAACAATTTTTTTGTTTTTGTGTTTTGTTTGAATTTCTCAAAATAAAAAAAAATAAAAACAAGAATATCGATAGTATAAGTCCAAAAGAAAGATTAATTGTAACATTAAGATTTTTTGCAACAGGAAATTCGTATCAAGATTTAAAATTTAGTTCTTCAATAACCCAACCCCTGATGACAAAAAATATCCCTGAACATGTCGGGCGAAACATGTTGGGCTATTTATAAATGTCTGGCACATTAAATAAAGACGACCGAAATTAATACTTTTTATTCGGAAGCAAAAAACAAACTAAAACGTCCTCACGCACGGAGAGCTATGGGCCGACTGAAGCCATTTAGTAACTAAATGCGATTACACCTTCCTAAATGCGTTTCTAATTAGGCTTATAAATGATTCAGTCAGTCAGAAACCATCCTTGCTACTGAATTCAGTAGACTAACTTACTTAATGCTATTACACTTCACTGAATTCAGCCAAGTGTAATAACCTTATTATGGTGCAAGGTGTGCATACGGACGCATCTGTGTTACAGGGCGCTGGCGTTGGCACTTTCAATAAACCTGTTGCATTTGTATCTATTCCATTTAACCGCACGCTTATTAGAGAGCCAGAGAGGCAAAAAATTTAAGTAAAAAATAGTCTAAAATATTTACTCAAAATATCGTGAGTTTTCCCAATTTTACATAGGTACTTAATTAGTAATTAATGTTCAATAAAAATGCTAAAACGCTTTCTTAAATGTAATTAAAAAAAATATTGAACATTTTACATACATAGACAGATTGTACACATACTACATAGACAAATTAAGTAGTTGTAAAATCTTTTTTTTATTTTTTGTTCCAAGCGTAACTGTAAAGAGTACCCGTTAGATATATATGAAATCCCCAACTTGTTTTTGGCTTCTGATAAAAATATTGGGAAATAACCTAAAATGGGAATTTATTTTCAAGATACAGTTTCCATGCTAAATAACGATGTTTCTNGACAGATTGTACACATACTACATAGACAAATTAAGTAGTTGTAAAATCTTTTTTTTATTTTTTGTTCCAAGCGTAACTGTAAAGAGTACCCGTTAGATATATATGAAATCCCCAACTTGTTTTTGGCTTCTGATAAAAATATTGGGAAATAACCTAAAATGGGAATTTATTTTCAAGATACAGTTTCCATGCTAAATAAAGATGTTTCTATTGATCGAATCAAGCAGCAGTCAAGCAGAATATAAGTTTATTATGGAGTAATCCAATACGCATGATTTAAGCATCGTATTTGAATTTGAAATTTATTATTTAAAAATAATCACTGTATTTTCTCATCTTCGTGACCATTTTAGCAATTCAAAATCAGTGCAAAGTTAGATGTAGGTACAGAAGTGAAGCAACTTAAAGTACTATTCTGTTCATGTTTCACATCACGTTTCATTTTTCGACATCATTTGCAATTTAACTGTTGTTCAATTTCTGAACGTCAAAGTATCAGCGAGCAACATTCGGCCATGAGACTTTTTTGTTTCCTTAGCTAAGCTGATATCCTTGAAAGGCTATTTCAGCGTAACCTTAACTAGTAGGTGAGCTCACGGGGCTCAAACCGGAGTGATGCTAACACTGACCCTAGCAAGAGCAGTGCTTCGCAGAATCTACCACCGGATCGGAAACGCAACCCACTGAGAAGATCCGGCGAGAAACTCAGTGGGCTGTGTCTATGGTTTAATTCGCTCGTCGCGCCCTTCATAGCAAACGACGGGTTCGACGAGGACGGTGGCCGGTGCTTGTGGTACCTAAAAGCACCGTTAATGGATCGGCAGGATTCGTAATGACGTGTGGTAGAGGTAAGGAGAACCGTCTCATATACCGTCTCATAAGCTTGAAAAAGTGTCCCACTTTCAGCACTAAATAACAGTTCAAAAATCCTCCAGAATAGCGCTATAGACACAGGGTAAAATATGAATTGAGCAGTTGTTAACACTCAGTATACCTACTTCAATGACTAGAGTAGTTAGTGACAGTGTAATATAAACAAGACCTCACATGTTTACGTAGTCCAAACGAATTTCATCAATATAGCCTATAATTATTACTGTGATAAAACGTGGGGACATCGATTGCATTTTCTTATCAGCTTTAAATAAAATACTGCTTGTGATTTTGTAGTGCTTACAGTTCTTTCGTCCTTTTTTATTTTTCTATCTTATTCTAATAACTTTCAGTGCCTTTTTTAAAATTTACCCGGTTGCTACTGTAGCGCCACCATTATTTAGCAGATTTTAACGGACACTTTTTCACACATAAAGACGGTTCTCATTACCTCTACCTTCCCACGGCAGTCACTACCTTCGCTAGAAGTAATAGTGTTCTGTGGTCACTACTGTCACTAGTTAGTGTAGAATATTGTGATCTATAAAATCTGAGAGACTTATTAATTTGTTATTCGGTTGAAATCACGAAATCAGTACCGGTAAAATGGGGCGATTAGGGACAAATTCCAACTTTAAGACCAATTTTAAGCATCTTTATTGTCCAATTTAAAACTATGCAACTAGCATTCCAGTTTAAGCAAAAAAAACCCCAAAACCCAAAAACAACAGATTTTTACATGTTTTTTTTATTTTATCAAATACATTAAAACCAATAACAACTGAGACTTACCTTTAATATATATGATGGTTCAAACACTAAATAACGTTTATAAATCACAGTAGTCTTCTATTATTATCAAATAAATAAAAGAGAGCAAAGTTTCTAGCACTAAAATAATTACCACCACAGGAAGTTAATTTGAAACGCGATTTTTTATAAGTTAGCAGCTATTATCATGCATATTCAGAGTTGTTTTGTAAACTTTCAACATTCTACTATTAAACTAAAAAAAAATGAAAGATTTTGCAACGAATATAAAACTAATATTGAGCGTCGAAAGATTTTCCCGATTCGCCACTCAATACCTAATCGCCCCATTTTAGGGTACATTTTCTTCTTCATTCGTGTTTATATGTTCTAAAGTGTGTGTTACCCATCAGATGCAATCTGTGTTCTTAGTGCGAGTTTTTTAACGTTTTCGATAGCGTAAAAATTAGCTCATATTTGTATGAAATGGGGTCGTTTGCCTACGTTTGCCGCTAGATGCGCTGTTCCAACTGCATACAAAATTGGGCTAACTTTTACGCTATCGAAAACGTTAAAAACGCACTAAGCACACTGTTCTCATTATATTGACACTATAGTAATAGACCGAGCGCATTTACCCATCTTGCAGTAAAAGCAATAATATTCTTGAACAAACTTACCGTACGCTTTTTTTTTTGGGCAGGAGGAAATCGCCGGACTCCCACCCTCTACTGGGAATTGCGGGCGGGGTATGTCGGAGTCGAACCGACTAAAACCTCCTGTCGCTCAACAACCCACGTCTGAGCCTCTCATGAGACAGAAGTCATGAAAAGGCAAAGGGGGGAGAGTGAAGCGTTTAGTGCGGAGCACATCTCTCCCATTTCCCTCCCCCTCGGGACGCCGGACCGGCGGTCGTCGGCGCCACGATCACCAGCCCTCTCGGTCGGCAGGCTGTCCGAAGCCCGCCTAGATGGCGCCGGTTAGAGTGAGCCATCCTACGAAATACCCCGCTGGACCAGAACCAGCGTAGGTCGAGGATAGCTGGCCTTCCATCACCCGGATGCTCTTGCGTAAAACGCGTGCAGAGCAGCTTGCACGTCGTCTTCTTAGGCCCCCTTCGCTGGGCCCCAGACCGACATATGAAGGGGTCTGAAACACTTAGAGGGCCAAGGCTTGGGCGAGATCCGCCTCCCTGGCCCCCGCTCGACGGCGGCGGGCTAGTGCGTGTCTCACGCGCACTGCCGCCCCCTTCTGCGAGATGGTGCAATCGCAGAAGTCGAGCATCGCCTTCCACGACTCGTCGTTGTCGAGCATCGATGCCACAACACTCGGCAACGACAAGTCGTTTCCTATTTTTGCGACGAGGACACGGCACCACCCCTCCCATGCGGGGCAGGTAACGAGCGTGTGCTCCGCCGTGTCCAAGTCGCAACCACAATGGTGGCACTCTGCCGTCAGCCTGGCTGTGATGCGGTGCAGGAACTCACCTAAACAACCATCCCCAGTGAGCACCTGCGTAAGCCGGAAAGTGAGGCGTCCTCTGTCACGATTCACCCAATCCACAAAGACCGGGCGAATCGCCTCGACGGTCCTACGACCAGCCGAAGGATCGGCCAGTCGCCTGGACCATGCACCGTACGCTTACGATGTTACTAGTTTTACTGAATCCGTTCTCGGGGTATATTTTGT